AAACAACAACAAAAAAACTAGTATTTTAAAAAATTTATATATACATATATTTATAAATATATATATTTTTTTAATTGAGTTAGTCAGTTTACAATGTTGTGTCAGTTTCTGGTGTGCAGCACAATGCTGCAGTCATACATGAACATACATATATTCCTTTTCATATTCTTTTCCACCATAAGTTACTATAAGATATTAAATATAGTTCCCTGTGCTATGCAGTAAGAACTTGCTTATCTATTTTATATATATTAGTTAGTATCTGCAAATCTTGAACTTCTGATTTATCCCTCCCCAATCCACTCCCCCCACTGGTAACCATATGTCTGTGAGTCTGTTTCTGTTTTGTAAATAAGTTTGTCTTTTGTTTAGATTCCACATATGAGTGATATCATATGATACTTTTCTTTCTCTTTCTGGCTTACTTCACTTAGAATGACATTCTCCAGGTCCATCCATGTTGCTGCAAATGGCATTATTCTATTAATTTTTATGGCTGAGTAGTATCCCATTGTATAAATATACCACAACTTCTTTATCCGGTCATCTGTCGACGGACATTTAGGCTGTTTCCATGTCTTGGCTGTTGTAAACAGTGCTGCTATGAATGTAGGGGGGTGCATGTATCTTTGAATTAAGATTCCCTCTGGATATATACCCAGGAGTGGGATTGCTGGATCATAAGGTAAGTCTATTTTTAGTCTTTTGAGGAATCTCCATACTGTTTTCCATAATGGCTGCACCAAACTACATTCTCATCAGCAGTGTGGGAGGGTTCCCTTTTCTCCTCACCCTCTCCAGCATTTATCATTCATGGACTTTTGAATGGTGGCCATTCTAACTGGTGTGAGATGATGCCTCATTGTAGTTTTGATTTGCATTTCTCTGATAATTAGCCATATTGAGCATTTTTTTCATGTGCCTATTGGCCATTTGTATGTCTTCCTTGGAGAATTGCTTGGTCAGGTCTGCCCGTTTTTGGATTGGGGTGTTTGTTTTATTCTTATTAAGTTGTATGAGCTGTTTACATATTCTGGAAATCAAGCCCTTGTCACTCTTATCTTGTGCAAATATTTTCTCCCATTCCGTAGGTTGCAGGACATTGTCATTTTTAAAGTGACATGTAACTCCATAAATTTTTTGATGAGTGAGGTTAGTTATTAATGATGTCTCTCAAGAGGTTCCAATGAGGAGTTCCTTTACTGGACACTCAGGAAGATACACTTTTGATTCCTTCTTGCCCAGCTGTCTCTCCAGATAGCCCCCGTCGGAGCAGTTGCTTCCCTAGACGTGCCATTCTCCCAGCTCCTAAACTGAGAAAATGAGCAACCCT